CGAAGAAACCCTGCATAAAACTAAAACAGTTAAACCAGAACTCGGTGGAGAATGGGGATGGTGGTGGGATAGACGTCAAAAACCAAGATGCGGTCTTCTAGCAAGTGCGGCGCGAGACGCTTAGTAGAGAGAAAAACAGACCCCTTAGTGAAATGGCCATGAAAGACCCCTTAGTCAAATGATCATGAAAGAAAAGGTGAAATCTCGTGACATAAATACAGTTTAATCTTACAATTAAACACAAAATAAATGTAATAGTGTCATGGGCACCAATTAATTAGGAAAAACTAGAAAACAAAAACTAAATAATATAATAAATAAATAACAAATGGACATATTAACCGTTGAGTATACTATAAGAGGCTGTAATTACTGTAAAGTTAAATTAAATAATAGATAACAATACATCAGCTGGTAGTCAGTCAAAAAGACCACCTTCTTTGAATAAAATTCCAGCTAGTTTTTTGTTCTTTAGCAGTAAAAAAAACTGTAGGTATGAATGAACAGACAGGCTTTCTAGTATTTTAGACATGACACCTACATTTCCAATTGTTTCTTCTCACTTTGAAACAAAAATACATCACTGATACGTAGATAGCCCCTCTATTATTCTCGCTTTATTCTTATCAATAATCAATGTTTTTGTTGTTGCAGGCGATTTACTGCATAACATGTCTGATTTAGTGGACAAGTTACTGGATATGGATGATGAATTGCTGGAAATGTGGTCATCATCTACTTTATTACTGGCTATATGTGAAGCAATACAGCAAGTCAGGTAAGCTTTTCACTATCCACAAATGTAAATGTAATTTGTACACCACACAGTAATGATAAATTCACATTCTAATCATTTCTGTTTTTATCTCCTCAAAACACTCTCAAATTATGAAATTGCAAACATTTCTATCACAAAAATTTAACAATTTACAGTTTTCCTTCCTTTGCAACTGCAATATTTCTATTGTAACTGATGGATTTTTTTCAACTGATAAAATGCCTGCTATAGTATATTGTTTGTTTCAAATGACATAACTAAACATATCACATGTGATTAATTATTTGTGGAGACATTTTAAACAAATGATTATTCATTTGACATTATTCAAACAAATGAATAAACAAAATTAAATTAGTGACATATGTATTTTATAACAGTTGTATCATTGCAATAATTTCTCATGTGGCTTGTTCAGATAATAATCTTCCAGCAAAGTACACAGTTGGGGTTGAAAATGATCATCGTTAGCATACATTGTCCTCATTTGATGTCATTCACATGCTGTACCCTGTTCTATGATTATGTCGGTTGTATTTCCCCTTCTACTTCACCTCAACATATTCCGTAGATTGCAACACCGGACCGACACCAAGTATACACAGTCAGCTGGTGTACAAGTGATAAACAAATGCTATATTTAATATATTGGGGCTGCCTTTTTGAGTTTGGCATGAAATGCGTTTCTCAACTTGTCTCTGTAAAATACTTTATTTTAGCTGGAATTAATTTTCACTGAAAAGACTTTTTGGGTGTTTTGCATGGAATTTATTTTCACTAGTCTTTGACAAGTTGAATATAAAATATAAGAAAAAAAGGTATATTCGCTGGATTTTATTTTCACTAAATCAGCCCTTCAGCGAAAATAGCAAAAATAAAATCCAAGTGAAAATTATGTAATTTACAGTAATATTTAGTTTCATGCTGTATTCATGATGGCGGCTCCCATATGGTAAAATATCCTATTTTATTTATTATTACTTGTACGCCAGCTGACTGCAATTATAGGTTACATACTGCTGTCATGTATTAAGTGTATATTGACATTCACTTTTTTCTGACAGGAAACCAAGACCAAAAACCCTTGAATATTTACTTCATTCCTTGCAATTGCTATCAACAACTGAGAAAGGAGTTGAATCAATAGGTGCATTTTCAATTTATCTATGTTGTTGTCATGGTTATTGTGTGTGAAGTTCTTTCAATCAAATCTGTACTATAGAATGCAATGGACACTTGGAAATGATTGATGGTGCGAATAGAAATTAAAAACTCAAAAAAAAAAAAAAAAGAAAAAATTATTCACATTCGGTAAATATGCAGACACAAGCAAGATGGACACTATTTCACATTTAAGATTTTTAAATAAAGTTTCTCTCATAATTTGTGTGAATTCAAATGAGATCTTTCACAAATATCACATCAGTTGCGT